GATTCTGGTGGGTTTTTCTTTATATACTTTTTTTTTTTTTTATTTTTTTTTTATTTATTTTGTGTGTGTGTGGCCAGCTCAGCCCACCAGGGGGCGGGGCTGGCTGGCATGTGGTGCTGGGGGATTGAACCGCGGTCCCTGTGCTTTGCTACGCTTGTTCTAAGTAGGTGCTTCAGACCACTGAGCCATCTCACCAGCCCCTATATACTTTTAATGGTATAAAATGTTACCTTTAATATTCTGTTCTTGAGGGCTGGCCAAATAGCTCAGAGGATTAAAGTGCCTGCAAGCAGGCGCAGGGGGCAGGGGTTTGATCCACGGGTCTGCCATGCTAGCCCCGCCCTCGGGACCGTGATGGAGACTGGGCATGGTGGCGCATGCCTGTAATCCCAGCTCTTGGGAGGCTGTAAACAGGCGATCACTGTGACTCTGATCTAGTAGTGAGACCCTGAACACTCTGTAGACCTTCCCTAAAAATACAAAAATTTTTTTTTTTTTTTTTTTTTCTGTTCTTGGTTGAATGTCTGAAATCTTCATTGTAATATGTCTTGGTGTTGTTTTTTTCTGATCATGACTGTTTGGAGTTGAATATGCCTTATATGTGTCTCATTTTATTTTTCTATACTTGGAAATTTTTTTGCTGTTCTGTGAGCAGGTTTCTTTTTGTGCTATCTTCTGATTTTTTTTATTGATTCCAGTTAATCTTATATTAGTCATTGCATCATCTAGTGGCTATTGGGTTGATTTTTCCTTTTCTTTTTTTTTTTTTTTTTTGTTGTTCTGGTCCCTTGCTGTTTTTCAGAGGTTTGTCATTCGTTGATTGCTAACCACAACCCCTGTCTTTTAGAGCTGATACTATCTCTTCACTTTGGTGGGTCCTGCTGGGTATGCTTCAGTAGAATTTTTAATTCCCTAGATTTCTATTTGAATCTGTTTTATGGAATTGAGCTATTACAACTATGTTGGACATTCATAGTTTCCATGTCTTAAGATCTTCTATTTTTTTTTAATTGGTAGCTATTCTAGGTTCACTAATCATTTACTTCAGTATGATTGTCATTTCTTTCATTATCTGTTTTGTTTTTGTCAAGAGACTTCTTGATCAATTTTGTTACTTTTTGCTGAACCATTTCATAAAATTTAGCTGAGCTGTTTTTTATTATTTCTACCTCAATGCCTTCTTGATTTTCCTTGGGTGAGTTACCTGGTTCCCAAGTTTTTTTATTTTCTATTTGTTTATTTTCTGTGTTGATGTTTGTACATTGCTTATGGTAGGTAGTTTTCTTATTACTAGTGTGGAGACCTCTTATGGAAGTGACTACTTTTCAAAGATGCCTCGTAGGCATAGCTGACTTTTGAGTCTGTGCCAACATCCTGCCTTTTCAGTGTATTAGGGATGAAGAGTTGCTGCTTATTCAGCCTAGCACTCAATTCTTTGATACTGGAGGATAGTGTTATTTATGACTCCCAGGCAATCTAGATATTGACATATAAGGAAAAGCAATTGATCACAACTTTGTCACCTTGGCTAAAGTAGAATAATTAGTAATAACATCAGTTTTAAACACAGACTAGAAAATGACAAACTGTGATAACAATTGTCACTTTGAATCACAGAACAAGATTTGTAGTTACATAAGATCTAGCACAAATCAGAAAATTATATGATAAATATCCATTTAGTGGAGTGATTTTACCCCAAGGGGACAAAATTTAAAGGAGATCAGAGGAAAAAATAGAGAAAAGAAATGAGAGGGATGAAAAACAAAGTTGAAGAACAAAGAATACCCGACTCTTAGGAAACTGGGAATGAAGGTTGTGTCCAATGTAGTGCATGACTATAATGTTGCTAGTGAACCAAAGAGGCAGTCAGAGCCCAGGTCTATGCTGGGTAATCCCATGAAGCTGGCAGTAATGGTCAGAGTGCTGATTCTGGCACTTTCAGATCGACAGACAAGTAGGCTGATCCTGGCCTCTGGCTTGGGGCCTGAGTTGTTCAGCCAGTGGTACTCTGGATATCTCTGGCCTGGCCACAGCTGTGTCTGTGGAGGTCTCCTGCAGTTGTTCTTCACTAACTCACTGTGGAATTTCAACACTGAGAACCCTGAGATGAAGCCATCTGATGCCTGCTCTGAGTCCTGGGTTCAGTTGTCTCCTCCCTAGTATGGTATCCAACTCTAGTCACTCATCAGCTGTTGTAGCACACAAAATCCACTGCCTTCCTCCCTGCAGGGCTCTGGAATTAACCCATCTTCACTGCATTTTTCATGCAAGGAACTGGAAAGAAGTGGGGGCTAGTGCACGTTACACCCTTCTTTTTCTGTGTGGAGGTCTGTCTCTTCACTTTCTCAATGGGCCTCAGTTTTCTCTTTAGATCCTTCCTGTATCCCAAGGATCCATTGTATTATTCTTCTTCTCCAAGTTGTTATTTGACAGTGCATGGATTCCAGACTTACTGGTCTGCCTCTTCAGGAAGTTTATCTGGTTTCTAATCTTTTGTTTTGTTTTTGAGATAAGGTCTTGCTATGTAGTTCAGGCTGCCTTGACCTCTGTTGCTGAATGTGGCCTTGAACTCACAGCAATCCTCCCTTGCCTTGGCCTCCAAAATGCTTGGATTTCAAGTGTGTGCCACAGCTGGCTGGCTGGTTTCTAATCTTTTCTAACCACGTGTATTAACTTTTTACACTCTATTTGGGCTTCTAGTTTTTCCTCTTCATGCAGCCACCCATAATAACCCTTTCCTATTCTGTAACCTGTGTATTATTACATAAAATGTTATGTACGACTTAAGTGTAATAGCTATTAGTAATTAAGATTGGAATAAAGAAAACCAATGATTGCCTGCCTGGCTTTTTGGCTATGAGTGACCTTGTGATATTAACTAGATAAGGCTGATAAGATTGATGTAGCTCATGAATTTTATATTTAGTAAATTGTGATTTTGTGGAAAGACACATTTAGATGTCTAGTCTATGTTATTGGCATAGCTCACTCATAACAAGCATCTAAACCTTATTTAAGAGAAGGTAGTTTAATTTTTTTTTTTTTTTTTTGTGGAACCAGTGAACTGAGGCCCTTGCGTTTGCCAGGGAAGCGCTTATTCCACTGAGCCATCTCCCCGGCCCTGCTAGTTTAAAATTTTAAAGACGTTTGCTCTTTATGTTATTTTAAAAGTTGGTTACTAGATAGAGTTCAAAAAGGGCATAAACTGGCAATAGCTATTAGTTCTACAAACAAGGAGGGCCTTCATTTGATGTTTTAGAGAGGTCTGTGTAGAGTGGTTAAAAAGGAAAATGGCAGATCCTTTATTCATTCGTTTCTTTATTCCTTCATGTAAAAAAAAAAAAAAAAGGAACGGATGTGAAGAAATATTTTTTTCTTTTTTCTTTTTTTTTTTTCATAATTTTATTGATAAATAGCAGTGAGACAGTTTCAAGTCAAATCGGAGAAATAATTTTGATGGTTGCTTAGGTGTCAGGCAATGTCTGAGGAATATACAATGTGTTTCCTACCCTTGCAAAGTTTATAATCTGATACGTTAGAGAAGAAAATTATTTAAAATCTAATGTGTCAAAGGAGAGTGGTTTAACATACTGTATGAAAAATGAGAAGAGGTATACACAGTTCAGCGCAGGAGTCAGAAAGGATTAAAAGACACAATATTGGGGCTGGGGAAATGGCTCAGTGGAATAAGTGCTTCTCTGGCGAGCGCAAAGGCCTGAGTTCAATCCCTGGTCCCACAAAAAAAAAAAAAAGACACAATATTCAGCTAATTCTTTAAAGTTTGGGGGTCATACATTATTTATTCTGCATTCATTTCTTAAGTATCTATTGAGCAGGTATTGCTATAGGCACTTTGGAGCTAATCCTGCCTATTGTGTAGTTGACAGTATTATAGAGGGGAAACAGAAAATATGTAGTATGCACAAGTTTTACTTCAGATGAAATAATTATCTCTGGATTCCTTGGGGTCACTAAGAGCAGTCCCAGAGTACTTTGGAAGTATTGATCAATTAACTCAGAGACATTCATGGACTCTGACCAGAAAATTACCTGAAGTGGTCTGGTAATTTCAGAGTTAAGGCCCTCCCATCCACCCCTACCTCCTTTTTTTTGACAGGGTCTCCATACGCAGTTCAGACTGGCCTTGAGCTCTCTTTGTAGCCCAGGCTGGTCTCTAACTCCCAAAGATCCTCTTGCCTCAGCCTGGGATTATAGCCATCCACCACCACTAACCCTTGAAGAGCCTAACATCCTTTCGTCCTATCCTGAATTCACTAAAATTTGGGTTTAAACATTTTTTTCCTGACATTTTCTAAATCTGAATTACTTAGGAAATATATTAAACATTTGGAAATATAGTAAGCATTCTTACTTTTTTCTTGCTACCTGTGACACACCAGAGAGATTTTCATCATAGGTAACCAAGTGCTTGTTAGTCTGGGGGTGGATACTATGGAAAGGATGTTGTCAACATAGATGCTTTCAATAACTTTGAAGTATAAGCTTGTTGTGATGTCTTTTATTTCTCCTTTTAAAAACAAAACTCTTGTAAATGCCTTTTTTGATCATTTGGAGTTTTGAATACAAAATCTGGAATTGTGTGAAAGAGTGCCACATCAACCTGGTGATGTGCTGGAGTTGCAGCTGTTGTAGTAGCTTGCATTTTTGGGAATAATTTCTTAATTTTATTTATTTATTTATTTATTTATTTATTTTTTATTTATTGTGGAACTGGGGATTGAAATCAGGCCCTTGCACTTGCCAGGCAAACACTTATTCTACTGAGCCATCTCCCCGGCTCCTTGGAATAATTTTAAATAATTAGATATCCAGAGTCAGGGGCCCTCCTCCCTGCATGGTTGAATTACCCCTAACAGCAGTCTGGATTCTCTGACCCATAGGGCAGAGTTGGTTACATAGAAAGAGGTGAGATATTCATAATGTTGAAGTAATTCTCTTGGGCACTTAACTGACTATCTTTTGCTTATCTTGTCTAGGAGATGCACCGGAGGTTTGAGAATGCCCCAGATTCTGCCAAAACAAAGGCTCTACAAACTGTCATTGAGATGAAAGTAAGTGAGAATCTAATAAAGGACTCTTCACTTTTGAGTTACTTCTCATTTTTAAATCATCTTACAGTTTTATAAAATGGCTGGTAATAATATTTCACTTATGGGAGACTGAGGAAATCCTGACTTAGCAAAAATGACCTCTTAAAGGAATTTCAGTTTCCTTTCCTTTCAGTTGTAGATCACGATGCACATTAGACCAAAAAGAGCTGTTTTGAATAATGTTAAATCAGCTAATCTTAAACTTTTTGATCTTAGGACCCCATAACTTTCTTAAAGTGGCAGGTTCAATTCCTTTATTTTAGGAAGATAACTGCCAAATAACAGGTCTCAATAACCATATATTTCCAGTTGTTCTTTTAAGTAAAATTACATTCCATGAAAAGTACCCAGTTCTGTTTACAACTAAAGGCAGCATACAATACTACTGCTAAGGACATCCATGGAACCTCAGTGTACAGACAAAGTGCTTCATGTTGGTTACCATTTTGTCACCCAGAATATTAAAAGGTGTGTACTTGAGATTTATTTTATTATTTTTTAAAAGTTAAAATGTTAATGTTGATTTTAACATACCTAAAGGGTGGAAAGGTGAAACAATACAACAATATAATGTAATATACAAAGGCTGGGGAGATAGCTCAGTGGAATAAGCGCTTCCCTGGCAAGCAGAAGGGCCTGAGTTCAATTCCCGGTTCCGCAAAAATAAATAAATAAATAAATAAATAAAAAATAAAAATAAACCGATATAATATACAGAGCATATCAAAGATGCAGCCTTTCTAAAATCATACTGTAGAAAAGATAAAGAATGACACAATGGGGAACAGGCTGGATTTAATCTAGAAACTTCCATTGATTTTTTTTTTAACCCTATGTAGTTACAGTAATCTCCAAAGATTTGACAGTCATTTATTTTTTTCTTTATTTCCAGTTTTCTAAAATAGACATAGATGTGCTTATGATAAAGCTAATTTTCAGAGCACACAAAAGTTGAGCACACCAATAAGATTAAATCTAGCAATCCAGAGTAATGAGGGGTAAAAGATACTGAATAAATGCCAGAAAACTGACCACCCAAGGTGACTGACTACCTGGAGTCCTCACTGTAAAGCAGCAGCTCAGTGCACCAACTCAGGGGAACTTGTAATTGTGCCTTGTTCTCTCTTCCTTAAGAACAATTTACATAGTTAAGAGGTCTTTATAGATAATTTGCATCTGTCTAAATTAAACATTCTACAATAGTGTGAGTATAAGGCCATGTTATTCCTTTTGGGCAATTCGCTAGATTTTATTTGGTTATTTTGAGATAGGCTCTCACTGTGTATTTGGGCACAACCCCAAGACAGTTTTCATCTTAGTCTCCCAAGTACTGAGATTACACACATGTGCTGCTGTGCCCCACAATGTAGTGATTTTAATACCAGTGTTATCCATTCTTTGAAATAAAGTATT